TTACTATGTAGCCTCTTATATAAATTACTCAATAAAGATATGAGCAAGACCTCACCTTTAATATTAAAAAAAAAAAAGTTTGTTAGAGGTTTAAAAAGCTGTTGATATTTATAGATTTGGAACTTAGAAGTTTAGAAGGCTGCTTATATTTATAAATTTGAAGCAATATCAAGTACGCCAAGTGGACAAAGGCATTTGAAATTATAAATAATGATCCTTCTATAAAGACGAATTTGCATTAGATCATGGTCTAAATTTGCTTCTAAAATACTAATTGCTATTCTAAATTGTTAAGCTTTAATTTTTCTCGTTATTTTGAATTTTTAGTTATGATCTTGTAATGTGAATTTTAACAGGTTATATATCGATTGTATAGTGGTTAAATTACTTTTTCAATCATAACTAGAGTTGGTGGTGCAGGGTACTTGGCGACACCAATGGTGCACCAGCTGGCACGCCAACGCAGGTATGGTGCAGAGGTGGCAAGTCAATCATATTTGAATTAATTTTATATGTTTGAGCGTGTACGTGTAATATAACATACGCACGTTGTGAAGGGTAACAGGTAGCCTTAATATTTTTTTTATTTTATTTTATTTTTAATGTTATTTTTATTTAATTAAGTTCGCATAGCCTGTTGAATATCTTTACCTTATTTAGGATGTACATGAATATGTATAAGTTAGTAAGTTTCTATAAAAACTTTTTTCAAACCATTAATATTAATAACTTGTCACATTATCGCATATCATGTAAACAAATCATCTTTATGAATGAAGAATAAATCAAACTTTTTATATTTAAGGGTAGGGTAGCATTCAAACTAGTATGACGCTTTTAATATATATATTTTTTGTAAATATATTTATGTCATACGTCGGAATGAAATTATTGTGGATTTAGAATCCATCTAAGTTGATTCTAAATAAACATAGGTTGTAATAGAATTCTAAAATGTGCCTGAGTCGTTAAAGAATTCCAATTCAACCCACACTAAAATTAAGTGTATTCCAAATTATTTAATTGAGTACTTTATTTTGAAATTTAAGTCACTTAAGACAGAGTTTATTTATTAATTAAATTAAAGTATTACATGAAGTTTTTACTTTCATGATTAGTATTTCCGCATAGCACATATTTTTTTTTATTTACAATGATTTTTTCATACGCTATTTTTGCATTTGCATTTGAATTTAATATTATCTACTTATGTGGAATATTGCATAATAGACGCTTCTGAATGCTTACGTGCGTTGAAAAAACATCTGTTATTGAAAATTTATGTGTTCGTTATATATGAAGGTCATTATCGGAACATTTATATATCCAGAGTTGACTGTACTACCGTATCTAATTCTAGAAACCTATAAGTAATCCAATAATGCGGATTGTATCCAAGCAACATGTATCATTCGTGGATCTTGCAGGGGAGTGTCTTTCAATCGCTTTCTTGCATTTGCTGAATCTATGTAAAACCTTAATATAAAAATCAAAGTCTTCACGTGCTATAAAGGTTTTAAGTCGACTATTAGTCGATTTGCTGCTAAGATATTTGAAAAGCACTTCTTCAAATGCATTGAGGCAAAAATGGATAATCTTGAGATTTGGTTATCGGATAGAGTGTTTTTGCAAAAGACGAAAAAAATGAAATAATAAACTAATAATAAATTTGTATTTTATCTTGACAATTTATCATGACGATATGATATAATTTATTTAACAAGTACACATCTACTGTGGTATCAAGTTTAAAATCAAATTAACGATTATCAAATTTAGAATCAACTTAGGTTGCTTTTAAATTTCGTTTTAACTTGGGTTACATTTTAGAATCAACTTAGTTTGCTTTTAAATTTCGTTTCAACTTGGGTTACATTTTAGAATCAACTTAGGTTGCTTTTAAATTTCGTTTCAACTTGGGTTACATTTTAGAATCAACTTAGGTTGCTTTTAAATTTCGTTTCAACCTGGGTTACATTTGAAATTCCGTTCCAACTTAAGTGGATTCTAAATTAAACGATAATCCATTTCGACGTACGACATGTATACTATACATTTTTCATTAGCTATACTATTATTTGCAACACAGCTTAGTCCTATCTCTTCAGAATAGGAATTGAATGATACGTAAATCTTAACAATATTAATTTATTTAACTCCCATCACTTAAATCTAAATTATATTGTACTCCAAATCAGCTATGGCAATAAATAATGGAAAATTTCTTTTATAAACTATGCAAAATATGTTATTCTGTAAATATTATTTATATCCACCCTAACTTGTCGGCAATAATAGTTTTTCAGTTTTATAATTTTTTAGTTTGAATATTAAAGTTGGTCATATATAAGTCAACTCAGTTTAAATAATCTAACATTAAATCAGATAGATCTTTATATATTAATCTATGCTATTTTAGCAAAACAACAAGTAAATGTATATCTATTTATTTACTTTTCAGTTAAAATTTTCATATACATTTTCAAATGAAAAAGATATAGTGATAACAAGATACTCCTCATAATTAGCTCGGTCAGATTTCCATTTTAGTCCTAAATCAGAAAATCTTTCAACTAAATTATTTCCAATGTGTTCTTCAATATTCTCTAAAATAATACGAGTCTCAGGATACTCAAATTCAGAAGAACAAAACATTTGTAAAATTTTTAAATCATTAAGTCTTCTATTTGAATTAATATCGTCAATTACGCGAATACCATAATTTTTAATTTCTAATTTAATATAATTTATAAGATAATAACAACAACGCAAGATCAATCTTTCAAAGCCCAAAATGATGTTATTACAATTATCTCGAGCAGTTTTCAAAGTTGATGAAGAAATGGCTGTCGATTTTTTAAAAGGAATTTGAAAGTAATCAAGTTCTTCTTCAAGTTGTTTCCAAGTAACTTTTCCAGATTCAGTGGGCCATGTATGCTTTCCAGTTTGATAGAATTCCATTATATAATAAAATGCTTCACTATTACGATCAAAAAAATATTCATTTCCATTAATTGGATGCAGCATGCAATTATTTCGATCTTGAAACATCGTTCCAAGTAAAGTTTCTGGTTGTGCTACGAGAGTTGATTTAAAAGTTTCATACTGCGTATGTAATAAATAAATAAACATATAAATATTTATATAAGTAAAAGATGTACAAAAGAATTATTACTATATAATACAGTACCTTTTTACCTCCAACATTTAAAATAATCTTTTCGTCTGATGTATTGGTTGGGGCTTGAGTAAATACGATGTGGGCTTGAGAATTCTCGGATTTTAATAACATTTCAAGTGGAGATGAAAGAGTGATGTTGATTACAAATGAATAATTATAATTATAACAATTCCATTTCAATTCTAATTCAGAAAAGGTATGAACTAAATGCTTTTCAATCTGTTTTTCCATATTACTAAGGATATCATAAGCATATTCTCTAAATGGAATAAGACGACTATCTAATTGATCATTATTATTGCGTTGAATTTCTAAAAAAATTCCATTGTTAAAGTTCACGTAATGACTAATGATTAATTGTTCAAGACTTGAAAGGAATCGATCAATTGTATTTATAGCAGTTTTTAATGTCAATGAAGAATTTTTTTTCGCTCTATTAATTTGAAAATATTCAAGTTCTTCTTCAAGTTGTTGATAAGTAACTTGCGACTCTTTAGTTTCAATGGGCCATAAAAGCTTTCCAGTTCGATAAAATTCCATTATATAGTAAAATGCTTTGCCATTACGATCAAAAAAATATTCAGTTCCATTAACCAAATATTTAAAGTATTCGTTTCGATCTTGAAATATTGTTCCAAGTAATGTCTCTGGCTGTGTAGTGAGTGTAGATCGAAATGTTTCATACTACATATTAAAAAAAAGTATAACATGTAAATAAAACATACGTGTAAGTAAAAAAGTGCCTTAATATTTACTGTTGCATTTTATACCTTTATTCCTCCAATATTTAAAATAATCTTTTCTTCCGACATGTTAATGTTAAGTGGACTTGATTTTCTCACGGCATGGGAATTTAAATTTTTTCTTTTGTGTAACCACGTATGAATGACGTCAGCTATTATTCCCACACCTTACCTTTTCGACGAGAATTTTTAATTAATAAGATATCTGCGCGATGTCATCGCGCAAAACCAGGAACGGAAAGCACAATTTTATATTTAACATTAATAACCGGAATCATTTTATATAGATTTGCTAATAAAAAAATGATTTTATTTATTGCCTAAATTAATACTATAAATAAAATATTTGAATGGTAGCAAGCAGTATTAGAAAAATCAGAATTAGATGAATTTAAAGTATTTTAATAACCCATTAGTATAAGCTTTATGGTCATAAGTTATTAGAAGCAGCACAAATTTATTATAAATTTTGGTTAGATAATCAATGTGCTTTTTATAAATAGTGAGTACGCACGTGGAACATTATAAAAGTGCTCGAGAGGGAAAGCTTATAGGTAAAATGTATTCTCTAAAAATGTTATTTAATTATTCACATATACGATCAGCATTCCGATCATTTAGGTAATATTATATTAATAGAGATAGTACATATAATAGTATTATTATATATAGAAAACAATGATTATATATGAGATTATTTAAAACTGTCAATTTGGGTGTAAAGAGATTTATTAGTATATGTGTTAAATGTTGGTTATTTTTTATTTCGTCCATCACGGTTCTGTCATCGAACCATTTTTACCCGATCCCACCCACTCCAGTGAATCCTGCCATTTCCGCAGTAAATGCGAAACCTTTGGAACTACGGCCGGCCTGCTTTATACAGGTGGGAAACCACTGGCTGTTGCTACGCATCGCTAAATTTTAATTATATATCGACAGCACCGATGTATGCTACTCATATCATATAATAAATTTAATATCCAGCATTATTTGGCATTCAATAAAATACATGTATCACGTGCGTGTGGTTCTTTTCGATGTTAATACTTGTTCTGTCTGATTATTTAATCAAGCCATTTACTAATTTCAGGTTTATATCATTTACATAACGAATCGTAATCTATATTAAGTAAAATGTACAGTACAAGTAAAACGTGCTGTTATTAATCAAATGATTATTATGCACCAGAAGATCTAGTTGGCATATACGTGATGCACCACCATAACTCGATATAGCGAGGTCAAAAACTGATCTAACACCTTTTATATATGGAATATTCGGATATTTATGTGTTCAAACACATTTACGATGCAAAAAATTTCGCTCATCAAAATATTTGTCATATAGAAATTCGTTATGACGAGCTTTGACTGTATTTATTATCATAATTTTCAGAAGTTCAGTGCGACAAACATTTAAATTGTGCTTTAATATTTACCCTTGGTAACACTCAAATTTGTTCTAAATTCTTCAATAGATGCACTTACAATTATTAATCAAAAATTGTAAGACCATATAAAAAATATTTTTAGTACTTCTCTTAATTGGGAAGGAATTTGATTATTATCGCTATCTATATATATCAAACAATAAATGCTTTTTTTTTTTTTTGTTACAAATAAATGTACACACGTGTGCATGAAAATTATCTTAATGGATTAACTTGACATTCTCGTGTAACAATTCGGGTGATCTATTAGTGTTATCATATCCTAACCTCTAATTTGACTTAATTTTACGACATATATAAGTAAGATGTCAACGTCATACGATTAACGTTAACGTTAATGAAATAAATATTAAATAAAATTTTTTTTTAAACCGTTCTTTTAATTTAAATAATGGGTTTTGTAGAGCAGTAGAGCAAATTTTTTAAAAAGTCAATATGTAAATTTTAGAGAAGATACAATTTAAAGATTAACTCTTATAAAACTATGTACCATCGTACGAAAAAATTCATACGTAGGACTACATATAAAATTTATAATTGTTCACTCAATGCAGTAATACAGTAATATCACAATAGCATGATGAATATCCAAACTCAAGTAAGGCACATCGTACGCACGTACGTACGTACGTACCAGAAAAACAAATATATAAACACTGTGCTATTGATTAAATAGTTTGTGCTAACCAAAAATGTAAGGGATAATAACAATTTATAATTTAACAAAAAACATTTTTTCCCAACGTACTGTGTACATTTCTTTTTTTCTTTTTTTTTTAATTCAATGTACAAAAAAATCTTAAACATCATTGCTTTATGGAAAACCTTACGATCGCGCAATTTTCTAGCATAAATGACAGAGTAATTCAACAAAGCAATATTAATTCACCATGTCGATGGGATTTGTCAATTATAACTAATTGCCAAGGAAGCATATATTTTTTTTGGATATATTACATTTCAATAACGCTATGTCTTATTCTCGTAGTTTCATCGCTAGTTATTTTAGTACGTGTACTTCCTTGTAATAGTAATATAATATCAAACATGGGACCTATTAAAGGATTCTTAATTTGGATGAGTTTACATGGAATATGTATGTGTACTTTTTATAAAAATTTGCATAAATGTAAGACTCAAATATTCGCTCAATTCAAATAACTATTTTAATAATCTTAATTGTTTTTTTTAGTTCGGTCCATTGCAATGCTAATAATAACAAACGATTGGTTACATGACAATTATATTCTAAAATCGATTATTAATATTTCGGGTTGGTCATTTGGATGCGTTGGAGTAGCAAATTATTTAGTTAGCATGTAAATTTCTTTTTTTTTTTTTTATGAAATACGTGCTTTATTTATACATATGTAAATCCATAAATATAAACTTACCAAATTTTCTATTTAGATTTAAAGTCCTTCCTCGATTAGCATTACATTCGCATACTATTTTCAATACTGAAATGAATAGCAATTTAATAGTTAGGCAGTTTATACCGAACGACAACACAGTACTTACAATATATTGGACATTTACAATCGCTATAATCATTACTAGTTTAATATTATCCATATTAAAAGGATATTTTCAAATGGTTGACAAAGAATCATTGTTTAACATAATTCAATCTACAATTCTAATCGAATATTGTATTGCATATATGTTAGGAGGTTTGTGCTTCATAAAATATGGGAGATTAGTTGTTAAATTGCTTGATGAAAGCACTAAAATAATGGGACTGGAAGACATAAGAATTTCAGAGAGTAAAGCTTTGCGCTTACAAAGTTATCGTACTCATTTAAATAAGGTTTGTTTTATTCTTTGTATTCTAAAAGGTTTGAATTAAATTACAGTATTAAATCTCATGTTATATAATACGCAGCTCAAGGTTATGAACTTTAGTCTATCTGTTATAGTTTGTTGGTTGGCGGTTATGGCTTTTTTTGTAGCTCTTTTCAGAAGTAAAATAGCCGAATACTTGCCTCTTTACATCACATTAGCGATTATAAGTTTTGATGGAACCGCTATTATAAACTTAACCGCGCTTTTTGGAATTGTTTATGGGTATGCTTCTTGGTTCTAAATATATACAAAAATTAACTTGATAAGGTAACATAAAGTAATTGATCTTTTTATTCAACTAATTTTTTTCTAATTTACAGCGAAGTACATAAACAGAACAGCGCAGTAGCAGAAGAAGTTACTACATCAATTAATTATTCTACTACCAATGATTAATTTATATCATTACAAAGGGAATTATTATTTGGGCCTATACCGAAACTATAATAATTTATAATGGGCTATTAATGATATTTATATTGTTTATTTTTAACATATATAATATATATAACGATAATTTTGTAGGGTGAATTGAGTACGTAACTTTTATCTATATTTAATTATGCATTATATTATAAAATAATATTTCTTTATTAGCAAAATAAACTTATTATACAGTATAATTTCGCTCTTTACAAAAAAATAATTACAACCCTACAATATTATTATAATAAGCTTTGATTATGTATTAATAAAAATTAGGTTTAATAATAATGAATAATATTGCTCGCTTTTAAAAAGAAGTATCCATTTTTAATCAACGAAAACGTATTGTAAAAATTTAACCTAACTGGTACTGTTTATTTCTAATTCGCAATTCGCTATTACTGTATTGATAAATGCAATATAATTGAGTCTTTTCACTGTTTAGATAACAAATGTATGTATAACTAATACAAGTCATTAATAAGCATCATAATAATGAAATTGTAATGTCTAATAGTTTAGTCTCTTAAACGTTAATTAAAATAACCAATTTAATATTTACCTGTGGTGCACTGATAAATATTCCATTTTGGTACTCCAGTTACTCGGGGTATTGCAGGGATAAAATCAGAGTATGTTACGCGGCATTATCATATTTTCACATATTATTGCATATGTACGCCTATATAAAGTACCCTAATATAATAAATAAGTTTACCGGGCCTTTTAGTCGATGCACTACAGTAAATTTTCCAGTAAACAAGTGAAATAAAGAGATTATTATATTTAAAGGTCAAATTTTACATAAGCTTTATTTATGATTCAACTAATGAATTAATTTGCACCTTTAATGCATGCAATTTGATTTAAAGACTTACAGGCAGTGTCTGAAATTGGGTTGCGGAGTCTGCGGACCGCAACAAAATTTTAAATTCCCGCAACCAAAATCTGAAGTGCACATGCAAATTCCGCATATAAATTTGCAAATTTTACCTATAAATTTCGATTAAATGTTCATGTGCGCAACTAAATTTTATAAATTTTTATAATCCGCAAGTCGTTTATTTTAATTGGTTGCAGCCCGCAACTAATTTAAAAATTGAATTTCAGACACTGCTTACAGGCATAATGAATAATAGTCGTAAGACGACAAAGTTTTGAAGTTTAGAATTAGAAGGCTAACACCAATAAAAGATTTATTTGTTTATGATTCAAATTCAGAGCTCGGTCTCAAATAACCAGTCTCTTTAAACCAAAACGGTGCTTTCCTGGTAGTTACATGCATGTAGGAATTAGCGCAACTTGCATTTGCCCGTCTAACAAAACTTATAAGACTTCTGAAGTTAAATTTTCTAAATGCAATCATGGTTTTTCATTTATCAATTATAGAAAATCTAAACTGTATAGGTCCGTAAAAGTGTGTAAAATACGGGACTAGGCGTGGGTTTCATGAGTGCGCATGAATCCTCAATCGTGCGCATTAATGCGCATTTTATCCATTTGGATTTTATGTAGAAAATTAAAGTAGACATAATTTAGGCCTGAAGTATGATGAATTAAGTTAATTAAGTCTTTTTAAAGGTAACTCATTATTATAATTAATTTAAAATATCTGCTTACATACGGTTATTCAAAAGTATCACTCTTGATTAGCAATATATTAAACTTTGATTGGATAAAGAATAATTCAATATTTATATACATAAAAAAAGATAACAAACTGGTTGTTCATATAGTGAAAGTTCCTTATATTCATTTTACTATACTGTACTCTTATACCGAACTATAAAGTAAATTTTTTTTTAAAAAAAAGTTTGACATCGTTAAAAAAAATTAATACGTATCAGATATGTACATACAGCTTCTGATTTCAATGATCAAGAAAGAAGCTATAAACAATGAGCACTGACACGGTAAATATAGTAAATAAGCTTCTCTATTTGAGATTTCTTCAGATGAACAATGATTAATTCTTAGAACTAAATTCACAAGTTTTCTTTTATACTGTACATTGACATGTTTTGAATTTAGTCTTATTAGTATAAACACTCAAAAATAAGTATGTTCGTCTTACTTTTAAACTCTTGCCCAACTACTATCGACAATAATAGAATATTTTTTCTTAAATAAATTTAAATCACCCAAATCATCAAATTATCGTTACAATTGCACAAACAAAATTTGATGTACTTTAAGTACATATCCTTTAACGATACCAAATTTATGATCAATTCTATAAAAGCTTTAACGCTTCATCAAATATAAAATATCTGTACTGATTACAAGGTTTATAAACAAAAATAGAAGAATTATCAAAACATAAGTATGTTTAATTTTGAATTAAACGAGCTTAGTATTTGTTGGCTCATGTTTTGATGAACGATCAGATCTTAAATTTTTGCTGAATTAAATATGTTTATAGGACATTTAAGATATATTAATTTCTAAAATATATAATGTGTAGTGAGTTTATTGTGATTCTGACCTTATCTTTAAATAAAATAGTAACAACTTTATGCTATATTAAAATATATATATAAATATAGCTTGAAAAATTTATTTATATCATTATTATTAAACTCTTTTTCACTATAATTCGGGATTTACAAAAAAACCTTCAAACAATAAAAAATATTAATAAATATCAGTCTTTATTTTTAATTAATACAGTAAACCATGAAATAAAAAATCAACGTGATGGCTGAACAAATATAAAATCTATTTTTATTGAATTATGATCGAGAAAAAATATACGTGAGGCATTTTCTCAACATATGATTGATCATTTAGTTTGAAACAGCCTTATAAAATAATGAGTTTTTATCTTTTAATTTTTAAATTTTACAAATGAATAAACAAACATTGTTACTTACTATTTTGTACTAAGAGTCTATAGTTTTGTCGCCTTAAATAATTTATAATATAATTAATCATGATTTGTACCTTTTATACGATCTTTTTTGAATCAAGAATATTACAGAAAAGACGGTTTGTATATCTTACCTCAATAACTTTAAAGTAATCAATAATGAATCCGAATTGCATTTCCACCAAATTCCGCAAACGTAACATCCCCAACCATTTCATCTAATGATGGTTGCATAAACACTGCGAAAGTGTTTCTAGAGATGACATTAATTGGTATTTCATTCTTAATATTTGGTGAAATTCCTTTAACCATATGAGGAGTTGCTAACAAATTATTTCTAGAGGCCATTTGCATTGCTTCTCCTAATTGAAATGCTAAATGATCTTTAGGTATTGAAACTTTAACAATTTTATCAGATTTGGTTTTTATATAAAGACCAGATGATGGATCTGGACATTGAACTTCAGGAAATGTCGAATCGGATTCGTTTATATACATTGCAGATGTTAATCCTAATTATTAAAAAAAAAAAACAGCTTTAATTAATAAAACAATATAAATAATGTATACCATAAGTAAGTTGATGTGTGAATTTAACCTGTGATACCTGTGATGGATGAATTATCCACATGCCACCCACACCAAGAATCGTCAATATTTTCAATATTTCCATTTGCTTTATCATCATTTGATTGAATCGGAAAATAATGTAGTAGTCGAGCTTTTGTAGTATGTGATCCCACAATTATCTTTTCAAGGTAATTCGGCTTTGCACTTGGTATTCTTGATAATACTTTATGGAAATTAATTTGTTATCGCAGAAAAAAAAATTGTAAATAAAAATTAATAAATATATGGGATCTTTGCTAGGAAAATCACCCTTCGGGATTTTCCGATCGGGCTAATTC